ACCATTCTTACTTCCAACAGATAATAAACCATTGCTGGTTATCAAAACAGGAGCGCCCAAGAATAACAGAATCGCACGTTGGGCATTGCTTCTCCAGACTTACCAGTTTGAAATAACACATATTGAAGATGCACAGAACAACTTAGCTGACCTTCTCAGCAAACTGTAAATATTTTTGTTTAAATCGCTACATTGTTACTACAGTGTAAAAACATCAGAATCCAAAATGATACCATCATGCTGAAGTTTGCAGGTAGCCATACCAACATACCGCACGTTACAGGTAACAGTACCTACAGACTGACTTCTTCAGATAACAGTGTCTATAGTCTGAACTCTACAGAGAATGTTACATATAAACTAAGTTCTACACATAAGAGTGCGAAGAGATGAAATCCTACAGTAATGAAATACTGACTTCTACAGATATCAAGTATTAAAGCATTGAACTCTTAAAATTGCAAAGACTTGAATTTTACAGTCAAGAGTGCCAATATACTTAATTGGACAGTTACCAGTGCCATCACAGATTTCATATACAACTGTGCTTACCACCAGTGTGCAGATGCAAGTTATCATTGATTTGATGCCACATTACTCAATGATACAACTGAAAGTGCCAATTTAAAACATTCAAGAAATGGCATTTCAATTTTTCTGTTCCAGAATGTAGACTCTATTGATAACTTATTTGGTACCATACTCAGTGGTACATCTGAAACCTTCAGTATATAAAATCCATGTAATAACATTCTGATATAACAGTTGATATTCTCCAATGGCCGGATTCAAATTAATACTGATGTGCAGTGCCGCATAAATTGACAGTTCGAAAGGAACAATTCCCAATATACTTGAAATATTTCTACATCACGTACCTCTCCTGAGAAAGATTTACCAGAAGTCAACAGAACTGTTAAGAAATACCATATTTTGACTGTGTTGATTTCAAGACAAACCTGAACATTGAAGTATTTGGTGTTCCACTTCTGAAAATACCAAAGTATAAACTGTGTGAACATACTTCTGGATGAACAGTTTTCAGTGGATCTGGACTTCATGCTAATCATGGATCAAGGTTCTTCAAAGTGTGTGAGAGGAATGAAAGTGAAATAAAACCGTGTGCAAGAATGTGACATATTATTACTATATGAGTTTATCCTATATTGCATACACTATGTAATATTTGTTGGGTAATGCATATATCATGGTATAATGTGTATTAATATATATGTTACATGTAATATTTGTTTTCAAAATATATGTTATATGTCATATTTGTTATGTACTGTATTTGTTAGGTCATATGTGTTGTGCAATGTGTATGTATATGTCTTATTTGGTGTATAATATATTATTATTATATTATGTATTTAAATTTACACTTCATTTGTCATTGAAATATTTTGTTTTATAATTATAATGTATATTTTATTTTATTTTGATTTGTAACATTTTTCACTTAATTTGAGAAATATTTCTTTTCCCGTTTCTTTTCTATTTTGTTCTCATAAGTTAAGACACAAAAGATAACAATTCTTTTTTCTCTTCTTTTGGTTTTTCATGTTAAAGTTTAAAAAAAAAAAATTCTTAAAAAAAAAAAAAATAAACAATAGATACAAATTTTAGTGCAATGTGTTGTTTGTTGTGAAGTCAACCACATTTGCGTTTTGATGGATGACAGTGCAACTGCCAACTTGCTGCATGAACTATGTGAATAAGTAATTATAAAGATGTAAACAAAATGTAAATGTAACTGTAATTGTAATTAGAATATAAACATGACGAATTGTAGACTATAGGTTTTAGACGGTATCTAACTGAAATTTAATTTTAGGATTTTACTTTATTTTTCCAGAACTTTGAATTTATTTTTGGAACATTGATCTTATTATTTTTTTTTTAGTAGAAAAAACTTTAAATGAAAGAAATTAAAAACATAAAGTAGATAGTTTGGTATTTATAAAACAGATGTTGATTTTTATTTTTATTATTATTCTGAATATTCACTGAGAGTAACCACAGATTACACTAAAAGTTGTACATCAGGGGAAATACACTGGAGGTTTGACTTCCGTTAGCAGGAAATTGTCTCTAGCCGAGGAACGCTATCTGACTGTGTAACAAGAGTGTCTTGCAGTGATTGTTTGTGTGACAAGACTCAAACATTATCTTCTGGGCAGACCCTTTGTCCTGAGACAGACAAACAGCCACTGTTCGTCATAAAGTCTGGTGCCCCAAAAAACAATCCAATCGCCAGATGGGCACTAATGCTGCAAGGATTTCCAGTTCACGATCACACACATCAAGGGCAGAAGCAACAACCTATTAATCTTTAAGTCCCAAGGAATGCATCACATGCTAAATTGTTTCAACAGCGTGGCCCAATCGACGTGTGACAAGTGAAGGTTTTTAATCTACCATTGACTGGTTGTAAAATGCAGACCGCTGAATTTCAACTTCTTTTTGAGTTCTTTGTGTCTGATATCAGGCGTGCTCATTTAGAAACGTGGTTTTTGAGCCGAAAAATTTTAGATTTGCAAGATTTGCCGAGTTAATAAGTGTTTGTTTGAAAATAATATGGCCGCCAAGCAATATTCTATGTGCATGCAACATGATTTACGGCTTTAGAAGCCTCAAATTTAAATAAAGTAGGTGTTTATTCAATTTATCCGAAGTTAGACAGATAAAGTTGCGAACTCGACGTGTTTCAGTCATTTATAGAGTCAAACTTGGATGAGGTATATGTCTAATGTGTACCTCACGCGAAGGGTACAAGGATGGAAAAGTCAGCTGGCACAAATAGAATAAAAATTAGTGAAAAGACAATTTTCTTCAGTGTCAGTTAGTTCTAGTGCTATTTCCCCTTATTATTTAGGAACAAAGCTACAAAATTACAGGCAAATTTAGTTATATATTAACTTCATTTTGTGTGAAGATGATTATTGTTTTGGGAGTCGGTTTTCTTTACCAAATAATGGTGCTCTGTTACGACGCTTCAAAAGATTCTTTGGAACAAAATCTAATGTATAGATTGAGTTTATATTTTACTTACATTACTAAGTGGTTCGTCTTTATTTGTGATTTATTTTGGATATATTTTACTAATTTTTGTGAACATACTGTCTGTTTATTTATTAATATTTAATTACTAACACAATTATTTGTTGTAGCTTCATTCTATAATTATTCCTCAACAATACCTAGTCACTTTGATGTATAATATGTGTTTGTTGCACTTGTGAAATAACAAAATTGCATTACCACCTCTTGGGCCTCTGATGTTAAACCCCCTGGGACTATAAGAGTTAAGCCGACTGTAAGACTTGCTACTATTGCTAAGTTGTATCCTGAAATTGACAGTCTGGTAATTCCAGAAATTTACAGACATTGTCCATGCGAAGACAGCGGCTGTGTGAAAAGACAGTGCCTTCAGTATTCATGTTTTCTTTAAAATGCAGGTGACTATGAATTATCTCATCTCTGAATCCTACAGCAAGTTTCATAGATCCAATTTATCCTATGAAATCACACCACAATTGAACAATAGTCAATTACGGTTGCAGCGTATACAAGTACGGTTTTCGCTGAAGACCAGTAAACTGAACAGTCATAAAAGATTACTGTGCATTAACATAAATCTCAAAATCATTCTAAGCACTTCTGCTGAAGAGGACTCAGGTTTGGAGTCTTGCCGGTCATCAGGGTTCATTTGACGAGACTGATGTGCTGTGTGCACATACTGGAGATCAAGAATTTGAAGTTTTCCAGTCAGCCGATGTGACAGTGTCTGCTACTTATAGATCAACAGAGGTCAAGTTGAGTAGGAGATGTAACCTGTTCTTCAGTACAGCTAGTGAGGGGAAGCTGGTGACCTATGCACTGTAACGGTCAGGTCAGCATGTAGATGCAGCTAGTGTAGGCTGTCCAAGGGAGCGCTGCTGTGTCAGTTGAGCCAGTGAAGTGAGAGTCATTCACTTCATAATTAGCCAGTGACACACATGGTTACTTCGCTTACATTATTATATGTACAGGTTGTCTATACCCATTTGAAATTGTTACAATAAATGTGCATACATGGCAGCAACATGTTGTTGAGTTTTCCTGACATTTATGTACGCAAGTTGAGTACAACAGTTGGAGTGTGAATCATATCCTGGACACTTGGTCTTGTGCTGTTTGCCCATTAGGCAACTTTAGCACACAACAGCTGTCACTTAAATTTTTTCCTGTCAATCACAGGCATATTGTTTTGTCACTGACATATTTTCCTTTCTTTCACTGGAACATTTTTCGATCAGTTACTAGAGTATTTTAATACCTGTCACAGAAACATTTTTCTGTCATTCACTGGAATATTTTCCTGTTGTTACTGGAATATTTTGCTGTCTACCACTGGAATATTTTCTTACTTGTCAGTGGAATATTTCCTACTTGTCAATGGAAAATGTTCCTTTCTGTCACTGGAATATTTGCCTGTCTGTCACTGGAATATTTGTCCAACCTGTCACTTGAATATTTTCCTTTTGGCCACAAATGTTTTCCCGTCGGTCGCTGAAATGTTTTCCTGTAACTGTAATTTTTCCTACCTGCCGCTGAAAAAGGTTCCTCTCTGTCACTGGAATATTCCCATGTCAGACACTGAAATATTTTTCTGTCTGTCTGTCACTGGAATAATTTCCTACCTGTCACTGAAATATTCTCCTGTCAGGCACTGGAATATTTTCTACCTGTCACTGCAATATTTCTATCTGTCACTGGAATATTTTCCTACCTGTCACTAGAATGTTTTCCTATCTTTCACTAGAGTATTTCCGATCTTTCACTGGAATATTTCATATTTATGACTGAAATATTTCTATATCTGTCACTGATACATTGTTCTTTCTGTCACTGGAATGTGTTCATGTGTGTCTCTGGTATTGTATCATTTAGCATGATCATATATGTCTATGTTCTAGTCTAGCCCAGTCAGTGACTGTCCTGCTGTTATCCCACAGGCCACTGTGAGCAGGAAGAGTTCAGCTGTACCAGTGGTGTCTGTGTCAAGCACAGCTGGAGGTGTGATGGAGATTATGACTGTGATGATCACTCTGATGAAGCTAACTGCAGTAAGTTTAGTCAGTTTTCCATTTTGTCATGGTTTTCTCCTCATTGAGCACATTTTTCTCCTCATTAAGTAATGGTTTTCTTTTTTACTCATTTAGTCATGGTTTTTTCCCTCACTGTTTTCTCCTCATTTATTTAGTTTTCTAATTTATTTGCAGTTTTCTCCTCATTTAGTCGCGGTTTTCTCATATAGTCACAGTTTTGTCCTCATTTTAGTCAGTTTTCTTATTTAGTCAGTTTTCTCATAATTTAGTCACAGTTTTTACATTATTTAGTAACAGTTAGCACCTCATCTAGTCACTATTCTCATTTTTGCATCTCACTCATTCACTTAATTGTCCTTATTTAGTCAGTTTTCTCCCCATTTAGTCACAGTTTTCTAATTTACTCAGTTTTCTCACTTAGTTAGTTTTCTCATTATTTAGGCAAGTTTATCCTCATTTATTTTTTTCTCAATTTAGTTAAAATTGTCTCTTTATTTAGTCAGTTTACTCCTCATTTATTCAGGCAGGCAAGTACAGAAATACCTAGAAAAATATTGACTCCTACTTAGGGAGTTGGGGAGTTACCGACCAAGAAAAGATACTTGGGTAAATGCCACCCTCCTGGCTTATGATGTATATGAGGAGTTTTAGAATAAGCATCACTGCACTGGATCCAGAAGATACATATAGACAGGCTAGAATAGATATGACATTGTACACTTTTATGGAAATGGAGGTCCGTGGATCGTCAGCTGTAAAAACATCAGACTGCTTTTTGCCTAGGCTCATGGATAACAGCATAGAGGCATTGGGTGTTGGGGAAATTTTCATTTTTGCTGATGTTGTTTTATTCTACAGACAGGGATGATGTAATAGATTCAGTGTCCAGACTAGAAAACTATATGTCGTTGTAACCACATCTCCCATGCTCCACACGTGATTTCATTGGGAAGGAAGAATCGAACCCCGCTCTTAACTCTTTACAGACTAGTGTAACTTTAGTGTCTTTTGAATCCATCCTGTTTGGACTATTCACCATTAAGGTGGCGCTTCATAGAGACACTGTAATATTGCTACAAATTTCTATGAACATGTTTTGAAAAACTAGAATTAGCGAAATGGTGTCATCTTGGAAGTTAAGTGTGTTGTTTTGGATAACTTTCTGATTTGTTTTAAATTATTTAGATGTGATACAATTTTAACATGATTTTTTTATACCAAATAATAAGAGCTATATATCTCTAGAGAGCTATATATAGAGCTATACATTCTACTCTGTCGTTTATGAATCTCAGCTAGACAGTGACAGTAGTCCTAATATTATGACTGATAATGCAAGTGACATCATCTCTGTTTTGGTCAGCTGTTCTGTTATTGTGAAATCTGACATGTCATACACAAATGGTCATAACATGCAAAGTATTTAAATTATTTGTTTCAAATAAAGTGTAATTGATACCTAATTAAACAGAGAAGGCATGTGAATTCTTAGAATTGGATATAAGTGTTTTTAAACAAGTAAAAAGTAAGTGAAGCACAAAATTTTTTCTGAAAATAATCTTCATATGTTTTTAACATCCATGAATGTTGTGTGATTTAAAATAATTTTTTGTTTTAATACTAACACTTAAATAGTTTAGATTTATTCTGCATCCATTTTTCTTTAATTTGGTATATACAGCCAGTAATTTATCATAAAGAACGTTTCAGCTTTTGTCATGATGCAGTAAAAAAATTCAGCTGAAAATTAATGCTGTCAAATCTCAGAAAAATTTCACCCTGAAAGAGTTAATAAAAAGATGCAGCACACGCTAACAAAGGCCATGCGAACACAGATGTTATCAATCACACTCGCTAATTGCTTCACCAGAAAGTAACATGTTGTTCTGGTCTCCCAGACAATTATCTAGATAAACGTTTGCAATGACAGCCTTAGGGGAGAAGATTTTCCTGGCGTAGTTACCAAACAATGGTTTTAATTAATCACTGACAGACAGGAAACATCCCCTACTGCAAGAAAACTTATTGCTAGATTATCGCTTAGTTATAATAAATTATAGAATAATTTTTTAGGCCTTGCACGTTTTTGGCGAGTACAGTTTACAGTTTAAAGTTAGCAAAAGACAGTTAACAGGACACAGTTGTAGTAAATTAGCACTGGGAACTGTAACAGGGCCAGTAATATGGCTAGGACAGACTGTAGACAAGACAAGGAGGAAGATGTAAATGAAGGATGAAAGTGTGGCATATGGCAGTTATAGTAAACTTTAAAGAAAACCAAAGAAGGATGGAAAGTCTGTGAGATAAACAAAGTGTACAAATACGACAGCATTTAAGAGGAACATATTTAAAGGTGCCTATTTTAATTTGTTGAGTGTTAGAGTTGAAGCCTAACTTCCAAGTGGACATGAAATGTGTGTGTTAACAGTTTGTGTTGTGCTTCATTAAACATAAAGCAGAACTTGATGTATCACAGCTTTATATTTGTCAGGATGTCACTTTTCAGTGAACTGGTAAATTAAGAAGCCCTCACTGGCTGTCTCCAACTTGCATTCATTAGACACATGATGTCACAGAGAAATAGAGTAGAAATTTCTAGAGAACTGCAGACTGAGTTAGACTTTAAAGTAGGTGAGTGGTGTGAGTAAACATGTTCTGTCATCAACCCAGATAGAGAAGCAGGAGTGCATTCAAAATGAAGCCATGGGAGGTATTTTGGGATGTACATGGGACATGCCAGTTTTGTGATTGCAGCACATTCATTGTCGACTGTATCTTCTTTGTGTTAACCGCTGTAAACTCCTGCATAAAGTTCTGGCTGTTCCTACACCTCTGCACTTTATTCTTGTTCCAGAATTTGAGTTTGCCTGCACATGTGTTTTTACAGATCTGGCTTATTTGTATGCAACTGCTGGTTCCTTGCCTTTTAGGCAGATGAGTGAATAAACGAGCTTTATTTCCACAAGGTTACAAATATGAGATATAAGCTATTCTTAAAATTGAGGTAGAAAACATGCTTATATTGCTGAGATAGGAGTTATTCTTGCGTTGCTGAGGTACTAAAGTAGTCTTTTTTTTGTAAAATATGTGTTAATCATGTGTTGCTAAGACCATACGCTGTTGTTGTGCTGGAGAAACATGAGTTATTACTGTGATGCTGAAGTAGAGAGCCAGCTTTATACTGGTGAGATTATAGCTGTTCTCATTTTGCTGATTTAATCAGAAATAACCTTATATTGGTGAGATATGAGTCATTCTTGGTCTACTACTATAATAAATTATCTTATATTGGTGATATACGAGGAATTCTCAGGACACTGAAATAGTAAATTAGTCTTAAATTTGTGATATAGAGCAATTCTGAAGATACTTAGATAATAAATTAGTCTTATTCTTTGTTCACTGACTGAAAGCTGCCGCGGAATGTCCTGGTTGTTCGTCCATTCTGACTTTGGCTTTGTGCCAGAGCCTGAATTTTGCCTGCACATTAGTTTTACAGGCTTATTTATGTGCAGCTGGTTGTTCCTTGCGGTTCAGGCATATGCACTGTGACTTCAAAGGAAGCTCCCAATTAGTCGACTCCTATGACATGCTTATTGGGGAAGAAGTGGGTCTGTTTGTTTTTTCCCCACAATCAGGCCCAGGAATCCACACAGGGATCTGTAAATTAGTTTTTTTTTTGGTGATATATGAGTCATTGTCAAGATACTAAGATAGTAAAATAGTCTTTTATTGGTGATATATGAGTTATTTCAAGATACTCATCATCATTATCAGGTGCCTTGCCGACTGGCGTGGGCGATCATGCCTCTCCATAATCCACGATCTCCTGCAGTATGTATCAGTTCATGTGCCTACACACTTCCATGCCATGCAACAAGACTGTCAAGAATCTTCTCTCGTTGTCTTCCTCTATCCCTCCTTCCACAGATCTTTCCAGTGGTCACAACATATTCTATTTTCCCTCTTTTCATAACATAGCCGAAAAATGCTGACTGTCTCCTTCTGATGTCTGTGAAAAGTTGTCTTCGGGCTCCCGCCTCTTTCAAAACTTCTTCGTTGCTCTTTTTGGCTGTCCAAGGTATTCTAAGCATTCTTCTGTAAAACCACATCTCTGAAGCCTCAAGAAATTGTTTGGCCTGCCTACCGATTGTCCAGGATTCACAGCCGTATGTTAAAACTGTAAGTATGTAGCAAGCAAGAATTCTTTTTCTAACTCTCAATGACAAGGATACATTGCACAAGATATTCTTCATTTTATAAAATGCAGTTTTTGCCTGTCTTATTCTGTTTCTTATCTCAGTTAAGCATCTTCCATCTGATGCTATCCATGTGCCCAGATACTGAAATTTCTGTACTTAGTTTCTTTGATACCACCATTACTTCTGTCTTTCCATTGTTCCAACTGAGGCCCATTCTTCCACTTTCTAACACCACGTCTATCATTTCCTGTAGTTCTTTCTGACTTATTTCTATCAAGACTGTGTCATCAGCATAACGTAAATTGTTTATATTGTGTCCACCAACCACAATTCCGGGCATATTAATTAAAGATCTCATTATGTATTCACTTTATATTGAAAACAAATCAGGTGATAGTACACACCCTTGTCAAGATACTAAGATATTAAATTAGTCTTTTATTGTTGATATTGGAGTAATTGTGAAAATACTAGCATAGCAAATGAGACTCTTGTGTTGTCTGCTTGTCTATAACTGTATTCATTGCAATCTGTTAGCCTTGCTGTTGTGTACACCTGAGCAGTTCCAGTGTGACAGTGGCTTCTGTTTGGACCAGAAGTTGAGATGTGATGGTAGGAAAGATTGTGCTGATGGTAGCGATGAAAGAGGATGTAGTAAGTCCATGTTTATGTGTAACATTTAACTCTGCTCATATGAGCCATGTTTACATTTAACATTTAGCTGTGTTTATATGTAACATTTAGTTCTGCTCACATGAGCCATGTTTATGCTTCACATTCCACTCTGCATTCCTTCTCCTTGTGCACTCATATAGGGTTGAATGGTACTTTTCAGAAACAAAGTGAAGAATGTACATTTCTAGAAAGATATTTGTAGAGGATAGCAGCATAGATCAGGATTTGGAAACGAGCTGTTAGAGGGCTACTGCACTTTCTACAAGCTGACACTGTCCAAACATTATTAAGACAACCAACAACTAGACTGTGCCAAGGCCCACCCATGTACAATTAGCACTTGGGGTATGATATGCCACACGAAAGCTGCTAACATAATCATCCAAGGCTGTGTGAGATTTTATACTATTAGACACAGAGAATGTACTACTGGCGTTACAAGCAGACAAGATCACTTACAGAGATTATACTATTGGTTCTACTAGCAGACAAGATCACACACAGAGACTATACTACTGGTTCTAATAGCAAACAAGATCACAAACACAGACTATACTACTGGTTCTACTAGCTGACAAGATCACACTCTCTGACTATACTGCTGATTCTAATAGCAGACAAGATCACACTCTCCGACTATACTACTGGTTCTACTAGCTGACATGATCACACACACACAGACTACACAACTGGTTCTAATAGCAGACAAGATCACCCACACAGACTGTACAACTGGTTCGAATAGCAGACAAGATCACACACACAAACTATACTACTGGTTCTAATAGCAGACAAAATCACACACACAGACTATCTACTGGTTTCACCACACACAGAGACTATACTACTGGTTTCACCACACAGAAACTATCCTACTGGTTTCAACACCCAGAGACTATACTACTGGTTTCACCGCACATAGGCTTTACTATTATTTTCACCAAACAGAGACTATCCTACTGGTTTCACCACTTAGATGATACTGTTGGTTCTACTAGCAGACAAAATCACACACAGACTATATTACTGGTTCTACTAGCAAACAATATCACAATAAGGGACTATACTGGCTTCACCACACACAGAGACTATACCACTGGTTTCACCACACACAGAGACTATACTACTGGTTTCAATGCACACAGAGACTATACTGCTGGTTTCACCACATAGACTATACTACTGGTTTCACCACACACAGAGACTATACTACTGGTTTCACCACACACAGAGACTTTACTACTGGTTTCACTACACACATAAACTAAACTACTGGTTTCACCACATAGACTATACTACTGGTTTCACCACACATAGACTATACTACTGGTTTCACCACACAAAGACTATACTACTGGTTTAACCATACACCTAGACTTTACTACTGGTTTCACCACATAGAGTATACTACTGCTTTCCCCACAAAGACTATACTACTGGTTTTACCACAGAGAGACTATCCTACTGGTTTCACCACAGAGACTATCCTGCTGGTTTCACCACTCGCAGAGACTATACTACTACTTTCACCACTCACAGAGACTATACTACTGGTTTTACCACAGAGAGACTATCCTACTGGTTTCACCACAGAGACTATCCTGCTGGTTTCACCACTCGCAGAGACTATACTACTACTTTCACCACTCACAGAGACTATACTACTACTTTCACCACACACAGAGACTATACTACTAGTTTCACCACACACAAAGACAATACTACTGGTTTCACCACATATAGACTTTACTACTAGTTTCACTGGATTCTGTCTATATTTTTCCCTCTGGGTTGCTTCCTGAAGATTTGATCACCCTGGGACTTCAGTAGTCTTATCCTGCATGGCAGACAGGTCTAGATTTGGTCTTGACAAGGCCCTAAGCTAGGGTTGCCATACTTCCTCATTTTTGCGGACACATCCTAGCTTTAAGAATAAATCTAAGTGTCCGCAAACAATTTTCAACATCTGTAGATTTGTCTGCAATTTTAGAATCCAAGACAACATTAACTCTTTGAGTCCCGAGGAATGCATCATAGGTTAATAGTTTCCTACCTAGAAGCCCAATGAACGCATGATGCACCGATTGTATGACTCGCTTTACTACCCCCTGGGCCTGTGATGCTAAACCCCCTGGGACTCAGAGAGTTAACACTCTGTCAGCATTTCCACAAATACAAGCAATCACTTAGCTGCTAACTTCCAGATATTGTTCATTAACTTAGTATCTAGAGTGGTGATCTGCAAGTGAAAGTTCTCAATTTTCAAAGTAAGCCAAAGAGACAGCCGATACAGTTAAGATTATATAAGTCAGACGCTATAGAACTTTGGACAAGGACAAATGTATAGAATTTGGGGGAGATAATTGTAATACTATGCTTGGTGTAGTTAAAAGAAGGGAAAGAAATGAAGTTTTTTTTTTTTTTTAAATTTAAAGAGAATGATTAACTTTTTGAGTCCCAGAGGGTCAATCATCAGAGGCCTAAGGGGTAATCAAGAGAGACATAAAATTGCCACATCTTGTGTTTATTGGGACTCAAAGAGTTAAGAAGCCAGCATAAATTGGGATCAGCTGTCTGGCACACATCCTAAGGAACTGTATCCAACACAGGGCAGATTTGTTGGATATTGACTTGCAATTCTTGATTTATATAGTTTATATTTAATTTTCGAAATATACTGTTCTTTGCTAAAATAAAACTTTGCGTCAGGAGCGATCACAACAAAGTGATTTGTAGATTGAAGCTTAAATTAAGAAGAAGCAAGAAAAAGACTGCAAGCACATTATTTGATTCAGCCCATCTGGACATTAAAAGTCAAAGAACAAACCAGTCTGAGGTGTTTAATCACCTACAGAGACAGCAAATAATGAAGAAGAATGGGCACAGTCTAAAGATGTGTATTAAGGAAAGATATAAACCTGAATGAAAAGGGTATCAAAAGTATATCAGCGAGCTTCACAATATAACAAACACAAACAAAAAATGAACGTTGTGGCTATGAAGCCTTCATCGGCACATCCCCTAATAAGACAATACTTCACAAATACACAATATCTCTTGTCTTCGTATCTGGAAGCAGCTAGGTCGATGTCTAGCCAGTAGACTCAGCACAGAAAATACTTGGGACTCAAAGCTACCAAAGCGGAAGAAGCAGCAATGACAGGTGATACTAGAACATTGTATAAAATAACAAAGGATCTTAGTTGGAAATAGTTTAGCTTTAATGGAAGAAATAGAAACCTGAGAGAGACAACAGGGGAAATAATCACAGCAGAAAGAGGGGAGGTTGACAGATGGCAAGAATATTTGACCGAGTTGCTAAATAGGCCAGCATCGGTATTTATAAACTTGTACAAGAAGGTGGTCATGCATTACATGTAAAGATATATGAATTAATAAAACTAGTTGGAAGACGGAGAAATTACCCCATGAATTGAAAGTATCTTTATTAATACCCATTTTTAAGGCTATAAGATTCTATCTGCAGTACTGTTAAACAGGCTGACACCATATGCCCGAGACATATTGGGAGATTACCAAGTGGGTTTCTGACAGAACACATCAACAATAGATCAGATGTGATAGTGTACATAAAAACAATTTATGGAATGCTATGAAGGACTTTTGAATACCAAAGAATTACCATGACCAAACTATGTATGGAAGACACTAATATAGTAATATATACAGGCAGAAAGTCAAGACGTTTTTCAAATAACATCTGGTTTAAAGCAAGGTGAGGCTCTTTCCCCACTTTTCAACTTGGGCCTGGAGAAAATTATAAGGAAACTGAAACAAGAGTGTACTATAGAAGAAACTACAAGAATACTTAGATATGCTGATGACATTGATATCGTTGGAGAAAATGAACTAGAGACTGTTAAAACACTGGCTGTCTTAAAAGAATCAGTTCAGAAATTGGGACTAGTTATCAATCCAGATAAGACAGAATACATGACAATGACTAGACTGGGAAAGGATATAAACTCCGGCCACATACAGGTCCCTAATATGAAAATCAAACGTACAGAAACATATAAGTACTTGGGTGCAAACTTCAACTGCTCCAACATGCTGAGACAAGAAATACAATCTAGAATACAATCTGAAAATAAAGTATACTATGCCCTTCAACATCTGCTAAGGTCAAAATGTCTGTCTCGCAACACCGAGATCAAAATATATAAAATGTTGGTAAGACCAGTTGTTTTAAATGGCTCTGAAACTTGGAGCACAACTAAAAGAGATAAAGCCTTATTACAGGATTTCAAAAACAGAGTCTTACGATGAATCTTTGGACCCATCAAAGATGCAAACAGCGGTGAATCGAGAGTGAGAAGCAACAACGAAATTCATAATCTGTTTAAATCACCACTGATCATTGGCATCATGAGAGCTAATAGACTGAAATGGTTGGGGCTTATTGAGAGAATGTCAGATTGCAAAGAAGTGAAAACTGTATACACGAGGGAGATGAATGGTCGTAGACCACGAGACAGACCAAGAAGACGATGGAGTGATGATATAAAATCAGGCCTGTAAACACTTGGTGTCACCAGCTGAAAAGAGAAGGCCAACCAGAGAGATGAATGGAGGCGGGTGATATCTGCAGCAATGAACCACAACCTGTGTGATATACAACAACTGGAGAGGCATGACATTATCGCCTGTACCTGGAAAGACACTCTGTAGTGTGATATACAACAACTAGAAAGACACTCTGTAGTGTGATATACAACAACTGGAAAGACAATCTGTAGTGGGATCTACAACAACTGGAGAGGTATGACATTACTGCCTGTACAAGGAAAGGCACTTTTTAGTGTGATATACAACAACTGGAGAAGCATGACATTTTTGCCTGTACCTGGAAAGACACTCTGTAGTGTGATATACAACAACTGGAAAGACACTCTGTAGTGTGATATACAACTGGAGAGGCATGACATTTTTGCCTGTACCTGGAAAGACACTCTGTA